TAAATAAATGATGGTTAGAATATCTTCACAGATGATCAATAAACAGTTCTTGAATAAACTACAAACCAATTATATGTATATGTATATATGAGAGAATACTCTACCCAACAATACAAGTATACACATTTTTCTCAAATAACTGTTAAAAGGAAAAGTGAGTGAGTGAATGATTGAGTTATAAAGTATCTTGAAAGGAGAGGAGAAGGGACCTGCCTGGTGGCAAGGGGTTAAGCACAGCACTATGAAGCAATCCGCAGCCTCTGGAGCACAACCCACATGGCGCAGCAGACCTCTCCTGACTTGCCGGCTGTTCCCCTCAGCAGTGTACTTCGGCCAATCTACCTGTTCTGTTACCCACTCTCTCTGGTGAGTCCTCTCACCCCTGCCCCCGCATCTTTGGCCTGTGCCCCAGCTCTTACATGCATAAATAAATATTTAAAAAACAATAAAGGAAAGGAGAAAATAGTGCTAGAACAGTAGCTTCTGAAGTATACTCCTTGTCCTGCAACATTTCCAGAAATTAGTTTGATATGGAAATATCTCACTGCCTCTGATGAATTGTTCGTCTCTTAAAAAATAGTGTGGTATTCCCTGAATTAAATAAGTTTATCTTTGTACATGATTGTTTTATGTTCACTTGATTATTTTATAGTAAAATTGGCCATGGGTTAGTTTCCTTTATATTTTTAGTACTGAAAAGGATACTCATCATTGAATACACATTCAGCAAGAGGTTCTTCAGTGAATGAATCTAAATGGAAATGTATATAAATATTCAAATGAATTAAGTAATTGTACATTTTAAAGTGCCCCCCCCCCGCCCCGTATTTATAGACCTTGCCCTGACATAATTTTCTGATCTTCCCTTAATCTCCAATTTTGTAATGAGATACCTGGGAATAGTAAAGTAAACCATAATAAAGTCTCAGCAAATTGATAATTTAAAGAAAAAGATCTAGGATTATTCAACTAAATTTAGTATGTTCTTGTTAATGACTACTACTCATCAGTTCTTATAGGCTGCCCTTGAATGCATCAGGCTAGACTAGTAAAAGTTTGTAGGAAAATAAGACTCAGGTGTATGAGGATTATTTTACTGAACCTTACTGATTTCACACTGGCGATTGCATCATCTTATGTTCTTTACAAATTAGCCTTTTTTAAAAAAAAAAAAAAGTGACTTATTTATGCATAGAAGAACTGGGGTGTAGGTCAGCGGTACTGGGGATGAGAGAATTCACCAGAGACAGAGTAGGGAGCAGAATAGGCGGGTATACTGAGATATACTGCTGAGGGGAGCAGGTGGTGAAATAGGAGAGGTCTGCTGGGCCTTGTGGGTCACCTCCCTGGCCAGGGATTGAACCTGTGCTGCAGTGGCTGCCAATAGCTAGCTCCGTAGTGCTGAGACTTAACCCCTTGCACCAACAGGGAGGCCCTGAAGCATAGAATTGATTCTGTATATATTTTTGAGTTTGCTTTATAAAAATTTGATGGTAGAGTTAAAGAGTGCTGCTTTGTGTTGGAAAGCAAGATGGCTGATTGTTGGGAGGAAAAGAAATCAGAGAAGAAGCGTCAACCTGCAGCTTAAATCCACGCTGGAAGGTTTAGTACAGAAAAGTAGGAACAAAAACCTCTTTAGAACTTTGCTAACCTAGATTTATGTATCTTAAATATTTAGGATTTTTTTTTTAAATCAAGTAGTATTTGGAAGCATTAATTTCTCTAATTGTACAGAAAGGGAGTAAAGGACGGAGACTTCTTCCTCCTTGGCACTGCGCGTTGTTACCTCTGAGGCTGGGAGGTGATGGAGGCAGTAGCAGTGGCGTCTAAGGAGAGGTTGAAGAAGGCAGGAGAAACTTGCAAATAGCACAGGACCTGAGTTTTTCTTATTAAAAACAATCTTTTCATGCCGGGAGATTTGTCTCTTTTTGAAAACCTGGAAGAATTTTGTTATGTTAAAGAAGGTTTCAAATATATGTCAGTTGAAGAATATAAAATAAAGAAATTCATTGTAGACTAAAGGAATACTCCAGGGGCCTCCCTGGTGGTGCAAGGGGTTAAAGTACCACACTATGAAGCAATCCGCAGCCTTGGCAGCATGAGTTTGATCCCCAGCCGGCCAGGGAGGAACCCACATGGCGCAGCAGACCTCTCCTGTCTTGCCTGCTGCTCCCCTCAACAGTGTATTTCAGTCAGTCTGCCTGTTCTGTTCCCCACTCTGTCTCTAATGAATCCTCTTACTCCCCGCATCTCTGCCCTGCACCCCAGCTTTTGTATGCATAAATAAATAAATCTTTAAAAAAAAAGAATACTCCAAGGGATGAAAGGGGAAGGTCACTGGTAGAAATTTCCTGTCCTGATGAGAGATAGTAAAGGGCAGCCAGGACCTTCAATTTGGGCTTTTCTGATTTTTCCTAGAATATCACCTTTTAACTGAATCTACATTTTTCCCTTTTTCTTCCAGTTCCCACACCCCCTGACTTACCCTACTTATAGTGGCAGAGACACAGTTAGAAAGTAGGGATGAGGGACTGGGCTTTGGATATTACTTCTCATCAGCTGTGTGGAATATTCTTTTCCTTCCTGTTGGAATGGCTAGCTCTCCAGGCAGGGTGACTGCATAAAAATATGTGCGGTCAAAAGTGTGTTGACTTGGCATGAGTTGAGTAGAAAACCTCACCCTTCTATTATTTCCAATTATAGCTCAAAAATTAGATTAAGACATAGTGAATGTGATATCACTGACTGGTGCCAGTTTCTCCCTCCCTCCTAGTTGTTTAGTTGTCTTGCTAGAGTTTTCTCAGAGAGACCTGCCTTCCTGGGTTATATGGATTCGCATGTCTAAGGCTGCATTGCCTCCGTGGAGGAGCTGGAGGGGAGCCATATTGTTACTGCTTAACACACATTGCCCTGTTGCCTAAGTGATTCTCATCTTTTCTGAACATAGAATAATTTCTTGTTGACAGGTTATTTTGAATCGTAGTTCCTTGCGACTGAGTGCAATCCAACCCTCCAGTCTTAATATTTGAACCTCACAAATCCCTATGTAGTCTAAGATCCAGAGTTGGCAACTAAAATGGGATTAGTACTGGAATCAGAGTGACTGCAAATTTCCAAATCCTTCGAGGGAACTGAAAATAGTAGAGATTATGGGATGTGGGTATCATATCTCATCTGGTTCCTATTTATGTGGATAGTTTGGTTGATGAATAAACAACATGTTTGATGGGTTACGGACCCATTTGTTTGAACAAAGACCTTAAGCCGTTGCCTACAGGATTGCTGGCATATCAGTCTCTCGTTTCTAGATGCTGTTTATTCACTGCTCAAAGCTACACGCCTCCTCCTCTTCTGATTTCCACCTAACCAGCTGAGTGCCGGTCCCCCAGGGCAGGACTCGTGTCTGCTTGCCCTTCTTGTGCAGGAACGGCAGCGGGCAGAGTCTGCTTCCATTTCTCTCTTCCTCCGCCATCCTACAGATACTCTATGTTTTTCCAGTCACTTCTTGCACTTGTCCGATGGTTCCTGCTTCTGTGTTTTCCCCATGATGCCTGCCTCTAGTGTTCAAGGCCTGCTCATCCTTCATTGCCTGGTCTCATCCACCCTTTGTGCCCCATGCTTTCCTTAATCCCTACACTCTTCCCTCCCTGGGCTCCCTTTCTCTCCTGGATCCCCAATGATACAATTATTTGGGTGCTTTTTCTCTTCCTGGATTGCAAGGCTCCCGATATGAGAACAGTATGTATACCTTTCTTCTTCAAGCTGCACTTAGGATTGTTTTAAAAAACGCTAGCCCGTGTAAATAGCATCTAGACTAGAATTTTAAAAAATTGAATCAATTTTTAAACACTTAAGAAGAAACAAGTTCCATTTTAACTAAATCGAAGTGTAGATGACGCTTTGTAGTTTAGAGGTCAAAAGCCACAGACCTTTGACCCTCCTTTCCCTTTCCTCTAAGATCCTATAGCAAGAGGTTAGTGCTATTGGAGCATCACAGCCAGGAAGAGTCCTCTGAGGGCTCAGTGACCTCTGCTTTCTTCAGAAAAGAGCATAAGTAAGTGGGCTCAGACATGTATCTCCACACATTTTCAGAAAATTTCTAAACAAAGGAACTGTAACTTGATAAACCATTACGGATGAATTGTGCTGTCAAAAATTTTCCTTTTAATAACGTATCCAAATTCTCAGTCCTGATACTAATGGCCATTTTATGATTGTATTTTCTCTTACAAAACTTGAGCTAGAACTATCTCCACCCACCCCCCACCCTCAGCCCAATCCGTGGGAAAAATACCCTTTTTTAGACTTTGTTTTGTATTTTCATAATACCCACCAGTCCAGACACATCTTGTTGAATGAAAGAAATAGTGTAGTAGCTTCTCCATTGGGATCAGGCAGCCCTTGGTCCTCTGCTCCAGCCCATAATTTAACAGTGAGAGCTTGATTTCCCCCAAACTATCCTGTCAGTTCTTGCTGATAAAAACTGCAGGAGTTCCCTGTGACTTTTTAGATAAAAATACCTCAACTACCCATGAAGTACTACTTTTGAAAAGAGAGAATTTAATTTAATTTTTTTTAGAACTTAATTTTTTTAAGCATATAGACAGTAGTTTTGGCGAGTTATAGGTAATAGAAGTGTGTTTTTCCTTAATGCTGTGTAAATTGTTTCTTATATCTTTGGTTAGTTCATCTGTATCCACTTCCACTTTTGGATTCCACTGTCAAACAATTGTTTTCTTAACTTTTATATCATTACTAGGGAAAATATTATGTTTATCGATACAAACGGATTTTTTCCTTTTAAAATAATCACACTCACTTTTAAAAAATATGTGTACCCACTATCAATCCATTCGTGTTATTTTCCTGACTCTAAAGAAAGGAACTTTTAAATAAATTAGTTATTGTCTTCTGCGTTATTGAACATGTGGTCAGTTGTCATGTTCATGCATCCAAATGATCAAAGTCTGAACTTCTGTCTAATTCTTCCCTGCTGTTAGGCTACCCTGTCATGATCAAGGCCTCAGCAGGTGGCGGCGGGAAAGGCATGCGAATCGCTTGGGATGATGAAGAGACCAGGTGAGATGCTGTCCAAAATATACTTTTGATGAAAATTGCAGTTACCAGTTTTATTAAACTGACAAGTAAACAGATACCAAGAGCATAAAGGAAGAAATACAACAGCCATCTAATTGTTACTCCTTTAGATAGGAGAAATAATTGGAATGCTGCAGAAAATTTCCTTATTTATATTTTGATGATTATCCTATTATAGATAGGTTTTTATTTTCTTAAATATTAACAAAGGATTGCCTTTTTGGTTTTTTCCCCCAGTGTATTTAAATTATGCTCATGATTCTATTTTCTAAGCAGAATTTACTGATAGTTAGCTGTAGAATTACGAATATAGTTAAAAGATTTGAACCAATACATTGAAAAGCAGTCGTGATCTCATTTGTTTATGTACTCAGTGTGCACTTGCTTTCCTTTGTCTACAGAAGTAGTGAACTACTTTGATAGTTTTATGGTATGAAATATATTTTCCTTTTGAATTTAAAATTACTGTATCTCCTCTGCATATGTAGTGTGCTCTGTTGTAAATGTAGAACATTCTTATTAATATTGTTAGAAATCAAAAGTAACTTTTTAAAGACAAAATTTAAAAATCCTAAGGCATTGGTTGACATCTCAGTATTTGAAAAGAAATATTTTCTAAAAACTCCCCAATATGAACAGATTTTAAAAAGCTCTATTCAGCTTTGTGTTATTTATTTTCAGGTACACCAGCAAGAGAAATGTATGAGTATTTTTGGAGGAGGGGATGAAAACAAATCATTTATTCGTTGTTGTAGATGTTGCCTTTCCTGCCCTTTCTCCGTTCAGAAGGAATTTGGTCTTTCACCTGATTAATTCGGATTCTCCCTTTTTTTTCTCCTTTCATCCCCACTTCCCCAGATCTCTTGGAGAGAAATCTGGAGTAGTTAGTGTGAAAATCATCTAGTACAAACCTAATTCAGAAATTAGGTAATAAAGCGAACAACTAAGGTGAAAAATCCTTATTATCTTGTAAAATCTGTTGGGAAACACCATGGTATACTTGAGCAGATAGTTATAACTCTGAAGAGAGTGTCATCTCAGAACACCACTGTCTCTTTTGTTGTGCTTCAGAGAAAGTGCATGGCTCGTGTTAAGGGGAGCTGCTATATGATAAATACAGGTCTTTAAACCCCTCTCTCTCTGTGTGACTCTGATACCAGATTGTGACCGAAGTAACATCACATTCTTTTTCCCATCTTAAGTTTAGCCAGCAAGAATTAACCTGTTGTGTAGATTGGCAATATTTGTTGAGAGCCTGCTGTGTGACAGGCACTGTGTTAGTTTCCAGAAATAGAGCCATGCACAAAACCAGACAAAATGAAATGTTCCTCCCTGGAGTTTATATGCTAAATCAAGTTCTTACCCTTTGAATTTATGGATCCATACAATTCAGGACAGGTTCATGAACTTGGCTGAGGGAAAAAAGGTATTTATTTTGTTGATTAGCCTCTTACTGGAATTTAGCATTTCTTTCAAGATAGGCAGCAAACTAATGTGGAAGTAGTTTCTATAGAACTTTTTACTGTTTAGAAAATCACACAGATGATTACATCACAGTTTTAGCTGTCTCTAAGTTACAGTGATTAGTAGACCTGCCATTGCAGCTTATTAATGGGTAAAAAAACATGTGCGTTACATCCCAACTTAGTTTTTTTTTATTTGATACCTATTTTTTATTTGATACCTATATTTTAGTAAAATTTGTTTCTTATGCATGTTTCTTCATGTATTTTAAATCATCTTAAGCCTTATTTTGAGAAGAGACTCATAGGGACTCATGACATACACTGGGGAAGGCAGTAAGTGGTGTAAGAAAAATAAAGGGAGGAAGAGCGAGCCATGGCTGTTGATGAAGGGGATTTCCATGCTAAACAGACTTGTCAGAATTTTCCTCACAGAGAAGACACATTCCAGCATAGAGTTAAGGATCCACTCCAGGGAAAGGCATGTGCAGGACTCCTGGGCATCTCCTGAGAGATCCAGGATTGACACAGAGGCCAGGTAGTGAAGGGCGAATAGAGGAGATGGACTGCGGGCTCTCGGATGTAAAGAGGATAGGTTGTGTAGGACCTTGTAGGTTGTTGTAGTGAGATGGGAAGCTTCTGGAGAGTTTTGAGTAGAGAACTTTTTTTTTATTAACTTTCGATTAGGCTTCAAAACAGCCCTTCTTTTTTTTTTTAAAGATTTATTTATTTATGCAAACAAGAGCTGGGGGGTACAGGCCAGAGGTGCAGGGGGGTGAGAGGATTCGCCAGAGACAGAGTGGGGAACAGAACAGGCAGATCTACTGAAATACACTACTGAGGGGAGCAGTGGGCGAGACAGGAGAGGTCTGCTTTGCCATGTGGGTTGCTCTCTGGCCTGCCGGGGATCGAACTTGTGCTGCAGAGGCTGTGGACTGCTTCATAGTGCGGTATTTAACCCCTTGTGCCCCCAGGGAGGCCCGAGTAGAGACTTATAATCATAGGAATTCAACAAATTCCTAACATCACTTATCCTTTTTTTAAACTATAAAGAATTGAAACATGCAAAGAAATAGAAGAATATAATGAACTTCTATATATGCATTCTCTAGATTGGCCAGTTATTAAGATCTTTTGACTTAGGTTTTTAAAAGAATCACTTCAGTTGTTCTGTTGATAAATAGACGAGGGGAGGGCCCCCCAGAATCATGAACTCTGGATCAGGGAAGTCAGTTGAGAGGCTGTTGGAATAATCCAGAAAAATGGTTCACCGGTGTGATGTTGGAGGCAATCAGAGTAATTCTGAAAGTAGAGGCAACAGGACTTGCTGTGCGATTGGCTCTGGGGGAGAGTACTCGAGGATGACTGAACACTGTGACAGGTACTTTATTTTTTGGTCATATTCTTCCTTTGTCTTGGTGTTGATTTATGTGAATTAGAGTTATGTGCCGCAACTCTGCTTTACTTGAACATTTCTTGGGAAATGCTGAGAGGTCAAGGCCAGAGGGAAGACATTTATCTTCAAAATAGAAGAATGTTTACTTGAAGAATGGTCTGGTTCTTAACCTCTCTCTGGAACCTTCTGCCTGCCTTGGTCTTGTTGATAGTGGAAACTTACCTACGTAGTACAGAGCTTTGTTAGCTATGTGGAATGTTTGAAGTGGGGCCCACTGGGTGGAAGCAACAATAAAGGAATGAGGCCTACTTAGTCCCATTTTTACCACATGATCCATCTTATTTGGTTTTTATCTTACAAAGCCCAGGTTTCGAAGTTATCTCTTGTGCTGAATCCGTAACCTCTAAATGCCAATGGACATCCCCATAATGACTTGGGCTTCCTCACACTGTGGTGGCTTTGGACTCCTTACATAGTGAACATGGGGCTCAAGGTTCAAGGGCAGTTGTTTCAAATCCAAGTGGGGCTGTATTTCTTTTTATGATCCAGCTTCAGAAGTCACCCAGGTGCCCCTCCGCCACTTTCTGTTGATTTTCAGTGAGTGCACATTCAGCTCAGATTTGAGGGGAGGGGCATCATGAGGGAGTGGCAAGACACTTAGATGAACTCATGAAATGGGAGATACCATAGTGGCTATCTTTGGAAAGGGCAAAATGCTACAGCCTCATGGTAGGAAATAATGCTGTAATAAAGCTGTCGGACACAACTTAGTGGTTTTTTGAGATGTGTATTTTCTGACTTGATCTTTTTTCTCATTCTTTTTCTCTTTTGTATGGCAATTCCACTGTGAAACCTTAGCATTTGTTTTTCATTACTCTTATTAGGATCTCAGATTTCTTATCAGTCATTCTCCAGGGCTGCTGTTAGTAACGTATTCTTTTATGGTTGGGATTATGCCTCATAGTTTGTTGGCATTGAAATTTTCTGTGCTACTGTTAATCTATAAATTTTAATTTTGTATTCAGTATTTTAAAAAATTATTATGTCCATTCATATATTGGTCATCTTTTCGTTAACAATTTAATCCTTTCTCGGTCAATAAATAGCACATTGATTCAAAAGATGTTCAGGTAATTAATAAAGTATTTACATAAATAATTTTCTTTTTTTGTTTTTTTAATAATTAAATTTTATTTTTTTACATCATTGTTCATTTTTAAATAATATTTGCTTCCCTCCACTCCCCTCAGGTGTAGTCCCTATAGAGTTTCCTTCCCCAAGGTACCCGTGCACCATCACCTCAGTCCCCTGTGCTCCTCTCGCTCCTCTTCCCCTGCAGTATGTCTCTGATTTATAATTGTCTGTTTTTGCTTTGTACTGCTATTATTTTTTTTACCTTGATGTCTTATTTGGTTCCCCTATATTTAGTATGAGTCTCTTCAACTTGATAAATAAATCTCTCTGAGACAAAGATATAACACTATTTGATTTAATGATGCATGCTCCTCATTTTAAAAAAAGTTGCTCTATATTTCAAGTTAATTTGGAAAAACCAAATCTACAGAAAAATTCAGAGACCGGCCCGGAAATACCATCTTCATGTGACTTCTAAAATCACCAATTGTTCATGTCCCAGTGTGCAAAATCTGCTGCTTCCTCCTGGCTTCTTCCTTGAGGAGACATTTATTTTTGCATAATCTGTAAAAATTTCAGATTTTTTTCCTTTCCTTTGGAAGGAAAACTTGTAACCATTAATGACTTTATTCTTTTATCTAAAGGAGTGTCTCCCTCTTCTAACATCTTTCTTAAGCTTTTTCAGGGAAGTAGCCACTCTCATTCACCTTTAAATCTTTAAAACATCTGCTTTTAAAAATAATCAGTTTTGTTGCTTTTATGTAATAAATTAGGGTTAGTTTTTGAAAGCAGACACAGGTCTTACCAGCTCTGGCTTCTTCTACCCTCTCCAAATTTAAGGGAAGTGTTTTGGCATAAATGGAAAAGGGATCATGTCTGTACTTGGGAATATTTCCACTAGAGTTTAGGCACCGTGGAGACTTTCTGTTTTATTGTTGTATTCCCAGCACCTAATATGCATTCGGTACTTAGTTTTGTCATTAGTAAATATTTATTGAATAAATGTATAAATGAGTAGGACAGATGTTCTTGATGCAGTTTTTCATGAGCTCCAAAATAATGTTGCAGATGCTGTCAAACTTGATAATTTATGTGGGTGATATTGATTTTTCACTTTTGATGTTCTTAGTTTAAATGCAAAATGAGAGCTTTCAGTCATTACAGAAGAGACAAACTGTACTATTTTTTTTCTCTGTGAATCATTATATCCTAGGTAATAAGAAGTTGGCTATATGTATTAAGAACAATGAGTCACTGTACTATACTTTCTTTGAGGTTTTCACTCTCCCGAGACCTAAAGTCCATTCCCCTAAATCAAGAAAGTAATGGAGAACTAAGAAAACTGATACCTTTTCCCTGAAATCTTTGAGAAACAGGACCTTTTGCAATGTTTTAAAATTTATGTTTTAGTGTTTACTTGCAATATTGGACTATTCAAGCATAGAAATAAATGAGTTGTTTCTAATATTGCTGATGGCTATTTGCAAATGTAAGGGTTGGAAGAATTTTAATGTTGTACGTTAAATATAGGTATTCAATCTGAAGATTAGGAAGCTATTACATGTAAAATTATGTATTGATTTTATATTCAGAATATAACAATGAATGGAAAATCATATCCTTAATTACACTGGCTGAATAAGCTCGTTTCTTAGTGTATGAGTTTAGTAAGCATATTTTATAATGTATGCTTATTTTATAATAATAGTGACTTAAGTTACATAGCTTGGGATAAAATGTATAAGGCAATAATTAAATCCATATTTTTATTTTCAGAAATTGTACTCTTTCTTCTTAATTATTAATTTTGAACAATTTTAAAGAAGATAAGATTGTTATGAATGTGTGGAGGCAATTGCTTTTTAAGGTGTTTGAAATGTCAGTAAATGTTTTTGAAGCCTCCTACTGAATATTCATTCTCAGTATATTTGCTGATATTCTGGCCCATTGAGGCAGTTGACTTAGGCCTGTTACATTTTTTTTTTTAAGATTTACTTATTTATACAAGAACTGGGGTACAGGCCAGAGGCACCGGAGGATGAGAGAATTCACCAGAGATAGAACAGGGGACAGAACAGGCAGACTGACGAAACACACTGCTGAGGGGAGCAGTGGGCGAGACAGGAGGGGTCTGCCACACCATGTGGGTATCTCCCTGGCTGGTCGGGAATTGAACCCATGCTGTAGAGGCTGCGGACAGCTTCACAGCGCCACGCTCAACCCGCTGTGCCACGAGGGAGGCCCAGGCCTGTTACATTTTTGTGTGCATCTTCTGACTGTCGAGTCATATGGATAACTGTGTTTATATATTAGTGGAATTAATGTAGATTAGGATTGAAGAGATGGAATTTTATCTAATTGCATGGTTTATTAAATTATCTCATTTGTAACAATTGGGAAATATGTATTGGTGTTACTGCTTCGAAAATAAAATCTAGGATCTGGGAAATGAAGTAACTCACCAAGGTCACAGCCCTTGAGTGGAAGAATTGTAGTTCAACCACAGTTAATTTAGTTCTTTGTATGTGAAATAACTTTCTCTGATTTATTTGGGATTGAGCCCAAAAGTTTTGTTGATTTGCTTTATAATGAGGGCTGTATCTGTTGTGTTTCACTCTTCTTCTGTTTTCCTTTACAGGGATGGTTTTAGATTTTCCTCTCAAGAAGCAGCTTCTAGTTTTGGTGATGATAGATTACTAATAGAAAAATTTATTGACAACCCTCGTCATATAGAAATTCAGGTTGGTACAAGTTAAGATGCTTTTTAATTACTATGACTAAATATCATTTATTCTGATTGGAAATAACATTTCATTCAGAGTGACTGAATTGTTCTGGTATGTTTGAGTAAGTATAAAATAGAATGTATATAAATTGATTACTATCTCTGGAATCTGTTGTACTTTTGTCAAAAGGGTGTGACATCACCATGATCTTTTTCATTTGATTTTTCTTTCAGCATCTTTATAAAATAATAAGATTATATCGCCTGCTATTTCTAATTCATGAGGAAACTGTGATTTTTCTCAGGGAGGTTGCATAGCTGTTTGGAACTAAAATTAGTGCCTAGTAATTTGACTTCTAGAACAGCTTTTACCTCTGCGAGCTTAGTATATGCATTCAATAATATACACCTACTCTTTAACTCTGAAAATAGACTAATCCATTCCTGAAAACCAAGCATTCTATTTAAAAGCATTGACTATTTTGGGGTTGCCAATTTATCTGATAAGATACATGTTCAACTTGAATTTCAGCTAAACAAGTCCCTTCAAAAAATAAAAATATGTCCCATGCAGTATTTGGGACATATTTTTATTAAAACTTTTTTCATTGGTTGTCAGAAATTCACATTTAACTGGTGTCCTGTTATTTCATCTGGCAACCCCAGCTTCTTTCCATTATTACAAATGGAAAAATCACAATCTGTTACATGTTAACCCCAGACCTTTTTACCAGTTTTCCTATAACAGAAATAAAACCCAGTAAAAACATCCAACCATAAGCAACCGACAACATATTAGATGTAAATAAAATAGCATTTTTGATTAAGAGACATGGAATGTCAATGACAAGCAGGCTTTTGAAGTAACTGTGGGGCTCTCCTGAGCCCACTGAGTTCTGGGGCCTGTGGGTGGCTGCTCTGGGCCTCGCTGGACCTGCGCCATGATTGTGGTGTGTCTCCCTCTGTACTGAAGATGGAACAGAGCTTTTTCGTCAAACCATTTTGATGAAAAGTTCTCATTGAGTTTTCTGGTTGTAAATCCAGTTTCCATCTAACATTCCCAGAAGTGGAGTGTGTTTGAGGAGAGGTGGTGTGCTCGGTGAGGTTGGGGTAGGAGAAGCAGGGGTGTGGCAAGGAAGAAGTGCCTGTCGGGCCTCTCCTGTGGAAATGGGTACAGTTATAACAATGACGCTGTTCTCTCAGGTCTTAGGTGACAAACACGGCAATGCTTTGTGGCTCAACGAAAGAGAGTGTTCCATTCAGCGCAGAAATCAAAAAGTGGTGGAGGAGGCACCAAGGTAAGGTCTCCAGTGAAGGCCTGTTGGCTGCCTCTCTGTCTTTCCTGTACTGCTGGCTTGGGCTAACTTGGCTTTAATGGTCATGATGGAATCGATTAATGTATATTTTTATGATCAGGAATGTGCTACTTGTTCTTTCTCAGTACTTCCGTGCATGAAGGTGAGAGAATACTTGAAGGAGCTGGGATTTTCTTAGAGGAGAAAGTTGGATGGACCACCAGCTCTGACTTCCGTAGGCTTCTAGGGAACAAAGACCCCGGTGTTCTGCCTTCCTGCACATGTGTGATTTCTGGGGATCATACTTTTGAGGCTATTCCGTAGGCCAAGGTTTATGAAGGTCGTCTTAAATATATCTTATCATGTGTTTGGTGTGGCATTTTCACAGTTACTGTTTCAGTTTGATGCTAGGTTGGTATTTGTATATGTTCTGGTATTCTTTTTAACTTTTGAAAGTCCCCAGTTGAATGTACGTAGTTATTTTTAATCACCGGGCACTAAGGAACACAGCTAATTTGTAGTTTTGACATAAGGTATGTATAGTTTCTGAAATGAATAGGCATGAATAAAAATGGGTTTTTAATCCCAGGTTAATGGTCAAAATAAAGTCCTGCTTTAATGATACTAGTTTTGAACAATATGGCCTTAACGCCTGGTCCTCAGATCCTTTGCCTTATCTCCCCTCGAGGAGGGTTCAGTGTCTCCTACTGCTGATTCTGTGCCCTGGGGATGTGTGGCCAATGGGTGGGTAGAAGCGATGCTGTGCCCAGGCCTTCGGGGACGGCCAGCTCCAGCTCCTTGTCTCCTGGGATGCTTAGCTTAGAAGTCAGCCCCGTGCTGTTAACACCTGCTGACAGCAGCCTGTGTGGGGTGTGGGCCTATCTTGGGACCAGGACCAGGACCCGGGCCAGGATGTATACCGAGGGTAGTTGAAGAGGCAAAAGGACTGCTCTACTCTGTCCTTTGTGAAGGCTGCAGAACCCGTCACTGTTGGTTCCTTGTGATCTGAAGTTAGGCACTTTGCTGGCGAGGCTGGGAAAGGTTATCTTTTTTCTTTAAGTAACCATGTGCTCAGCTATAATTAGCAAAAAGAATTGTAGAGATGTAAAAAGCAATCACATTTGTGCTTAGATTTATTTGGATCCTGATTTAAATTAGTTGAAAAGCTACTAGATTATCAGGGAATTTGAATAACAACTATTCTTTTATGCTATTAAGAAATTCTTCCTAACTTTTTAAAAGTGTAATTATGTTACCAAAGCATACTTACAGAAACAAGGAAGATTATACAGGTGAAATGATACCCGTTTTGGAATTTGTTTTAAAAATTAAAAAAGTGGATGTTAGCAAAGAAGACGTGTACAGCATAAGTAAAACAAGGGTGTGTTTATTACATATGAAAAACAGGTGCACACTAGTTCATTATACCATTCCATCCTAAACATTCTACAAAATATCTTCTGAATTGTACACACTTAAGAATTTTAATCCACGGGGCCTCCCCGGTGGCACAGTGGTTGAGCGCTGGGTTGCGAAGCTGCCCATGGCCTCTGTGGCACCGGTTCGATCCCCGGCTGCTCCCCGGCCACCGGAGGAGGGTCCCGCATGGCGCGCAGACCTCTCCTGCCGCCCGCTGCTCCCCTCAGCAGTGTACTTTGGTCCTTCTGCCTGCTCTGCTCCCCGCTCTGGCTCTGGTGAATTCTCTCACCCTCCCGCGCTTCTGACTGTACCCAGTGCATGTATAAACAAAACAAACAAATAAAATAAATAAATAAAACATGCCTTTAAAAAAAAAAAAGAATTTTAATCCACGAATAGAAAGGTAGTCAGTGTTTTGTTTCTCAGAACCTTTCTTGCATAGAAGCAAAATCTGTAAAATACGTAAAAATGCAGAAATGATTTGGTAATACTATTTTTAGGGTCATTGAAAATATTTTGGCTTTTCTTCCCTCCTGGTAGGTGATTTTGATAAAGTGGAATAAAAGTTTTGAGGATGATAGATTTATAGTTGATTCTTGATTTATGGCAGTTGTTTTTTATAAAGTTGCAGTAGACACTGAGGTAGTGGATATTGGACTATTGCTCCGAAGGGAAATACAGGGCTAGGTGCTATGAGCCTTTGGTGGGAACATTCTCAGACCCCAGTCAGTTCATGACTTTGTTTTTTGTGTCTTTTTCTGGAAAGAAACTTTATTTAATACACATTGTTGCTTCATAAGCTGGGACTCTCTTTCCTGGCCAGCTGCGCTATCTGTGCGGAGGGCGCCCCACATATCACAGCTTCTTCCACGCGGCATGTCGCCCCTTCTCTGCGGGCTGCTGGGTGGGGAGCTCTGCGGCGCGGCTCAGGGCATGTCAGAGCTACGGGACACAGAAAAGCACAAAAATATGAAAAACACCACTCAGTAAACTGTAAGAAGGACACCAGTTTGTGGTTGGAGAGCTGAGCCGAGAAGGCAGAGGTGGCCTTGGCTGACCCCATTGGGGAGCAGGCCTGTGAGGAGTCGGGTTTTTCTGCTGCTCTGAGCTTGTTCTGAATGAGTGTGGAAGGGCTGTTAAGTATTCAGGGTGGCAAGTCCATTCTAGAAAGCAGGCAGAGTTGCAAATATGGAATCTAGAAATAATGAGGATCAGATTTGACTCTTTCCCCCAGTTTTAGCTTGAAACAGTTAATATATGTGCTGTTGTCGTGATTGAAAACTGCTTGTGTTGAAGTAGTTGTATATTTTATCATAAATGGATCGAAGTTGCAATGGAATGGGGGAAATGCAAATGTTGCTTTTATAGAAATCAAGTCGATTTATTTAAACGTGTTAATGTTTAATAAGGTAAGTATATCGTTTGAAATCTCATATTTGTACATAATTCGAGGGAGTTTTAAGAAAACTTTTGTATAGTGCACACAAAAACTTGACTTTTGTTTGACATGTGAAATGCGACTCTCCCTGTGTCTCCAGCATTTTTCTAGATTGTGAGACTCGCAGAGCGATGGGCGAGCAGGCCGTGGCTCTGGCCAGAGCAGTGCAGTACTCGTCCGCGGGAACCGTGGAATTCCTCGTGGACTCCAAGAAGAATTTCTATTTCTTGGAAATGAATACCAGACTCCAGGTAACAAGAGCTCTGATTTGCATCCCCCACCAGGCCGCTATACTTTTTCCTTCCTCATCCACCCCATTTGTTTTATAAAACCTAGAACACAGCTTCCCAACTGGTTAGCCAAAAATTTCATTTGTATGCTGGTGCGAAGGCCTGCGTTAGCAACAACAGGTCATTTTCACAGCCAGTGTCCAGTGCTCCTGCTTCACTGCTGACCATAAATTCCACTTTGCTTATTGGCTTGCTCTCTCGAGGACCAGTGCTAGTTAGGCGCCCGCGCTGTTAGAGAACTGCTCTAGCTGCTGCGAATAGAACGGGATTAATAAGCAGAAGGGCATTAACATGTGTTTGGGAGGTAACCTGGAATGAGCCTCAGACGCTGAGGATGGTGCCACCCGACCCGGCTGCCAGAACCCCCCATCCCCTCGCGAGGAGGGTGAGCCTGGACTGTCAGGAGACTGTCCCTGGAACTGTAGGCTTCAGGGCTGCGCTTCTCAGGACGCTGGGGGGCTATGACTACCTGGCCGCTTAGTTCTTCCTGCTGCCCTTTTTCGTATTATTTAAATACAACTACAAAAAAATCCATAGAACACAACCTTATAGTTGAACAGACCACTATAAAGCAAAAGTCAGGTAAACATCAGCTGGTGGCGGAGTACCCCAAAGCCAGGCTATCTTATTCCTTCTCCCTCTTCTCAGTTACTCCCCCCATCTTCCCAGAGCTGATGACTATTCTGAGCGCGTGCTAAACCTCCTTGGGTTTCTGTGCACACCTAAGCGCCTGAATTAATTGGTTTCTTTTTTAGTTTTAAATTAGTAGGAACATATGATTGTATTATTTTTTGTGCCTGGCTTCTTTTCTCCACATGTTTGTGAGGTTCAGCCCTGCTGTCTCATGTTACTCGTGTATGGTATATGGTACTCCTTTGAAGAATGTGCCACTATTTCTTCCATTTCTACAGGTATTTAGTTTGTTTCCAGTTTTTTGTAATTTGTATTCGTCAGCTCCAGCTGCTGTAACAAATTTTTAATCCCAAACTGGGTGATTCAAAGCAGCAAAAATTTATTCTCTTATGTTTCAGGAGACAAATCTGGAATCTAGGTGCTGGCTGGCTTGCTTCCTTGCAGGGATTCTGAGGGAGAATATGTTCTTCTAGCTTCTTCTGGTTTCTGGTAATTGCCCATAATCCTCTGTACCCTTGTCTTGTGGCCGCACAGCTCCAGCCTCATTAGCATTCTCCTGGGTTCTGTGTCCAGAGTGCTGTCTCTTTATGAAGGCCGCGGTGTGTGGATTTAGGGCCCACCCCAACCCACTATGACCTCACCTTGATGACACCTGCCCATCCCCTACTTCCAAATAGGATCACCTTTGCAGAGTCTAGGTGGAAATGCCTTTTGGGAGGCCCCCTATTCGATTCAGTACATCATGGAACAAAAGCACGTGTCCAGTAATTCACCCAGCTATACATGCATGTTGTTGATATGTATACTTTTCTTTCATTTTATTCAGCAATGAAATATTTTAAAGATAAACAACACCTCTGGTCCATAGTGACAGAAAACACACTGTGGTTGCCTCGAACTGGGGGCTGACGGCCAAGGGGTAGACGATGCAGGAAGTGTTACTTAGGGTTAGAGAGGGGATCTGCCCTTCTTCCCCTGGCTTTCATGGGGGTGCAGAGGGGTTGTCATCCAGGCAAAGCTGTGTTCCTGCCTGCAGGTTTTGTTGCAGCTACATGCACCACTTCATGCACCATGGAGTCTCTACTTCACCCTTTGCTTTAGGGTTTGCCGCTGACCTTGTACCTCCTGAGGGTCGGTCACCAAGCTCTACCTCTTCCCAGAGGGAGCTCCTTTACATGTCCCTGCTGCTGACAGTTGCCTGAGGCGTGATTTCTGTGGTTCTCCTTTGACCTTGGTCTTAGTTCTTGTGTTTTCCGTGGTCCTGCCCTCATCTGCTGGTGGGAGCCAACGGCCGGGGCCTACTCCCCCAGTGGTTCTCTTTTGTGTGCTCTATCTTTTCTCTTCCTTTATCCTCTACCTGCCTGTACTCACATATTTTACACATTCTTTTGTAATCAATGTATAATTTTTTAGCCAAGTTTAATCTTTGTCTTGTGCCTGGACTATTTGCTTCATAGAAAGTTAACTTCAAGTTACAATTTGGGGTTTAAATTTATAATCTTTGAAAATACTTTTTTTGTCCAACTCTGCAGTTTTTCTTTTCCCTTTTGCAATATACATTTTCTAATTTAATGCCCACCTTTGGGGGTTATCTCATTTCTAATCTTTTGGTAGACCATTACAACATACTCCTCAACTTATTCAAGCCTAATATCAGTAAGTAAATTTTCATCTGCCCCGGCAGGACAGTTACGGTCTCTATATTCAAGAACCTTAGAACATTTTACTTATTCTTGCTTTCTCTTGGCTTCTTCACAGTCACAGGTCATTTTTCTTATTATTTTAGAAAGCCAATTTTTTTTTTTGGTCTTGTTTGTGGGAATTTATTTTAGAGGTGTTGTGAGAAGGATTTCCCCTTTACTTTTTACCACACCCTGCTTGTACTTCTGGTCTCAAAACTTCCCATCTGACCAGTTCTCCAGCATCAGCTTGGTTTCTGCAGTTCCTTCGTTTCTGAAGCTCTGCCTGGTGTTGGCATCGACGCACGAGTTACGGCTCAGTCCCAAGATGCAGATGCCAATAACAAATCCTAGCTTGTCACCTGTCCTTCTAATTGGCCTGAAATTGGGGCTCACAAGACCATCTCTTCAGGTTCCGTAATTTACTAGAACAACTCACAGAGCTCAGGGAAGCACATTTACTGCCTTTTAAAAATATATATTAAAGGACATGATCAAGGATGCAGATGAACAGGCCAATGGAGCCTGTTAAACTCCATAGAATGGAGTTTAGAGGGCTCCTGAGTAATGGAGCGTCTGTTCCCAGGGAGGTGAAGGCCACTTCCCTTCTGGAAGGTGAACACTTTCTCCACAGCAGTTCTCTGAATCCCGTACTTCAAGGGTCATTGTGGAGACTTCGTCATGTAGGTCTAATCAATTATTAGTTCATTTTCTGACTCATCTCCCCTCTCCAGAGGATGGGGTGGGGCTGAACGTTCCAAGCTTCTAATTCTGGCTTGGTCTTTTTAGCCACCAGCCTCCCTTCCGGAGTCTACTCAGTGTCACCTCATGAGAACAAAGGTGCTCCTCTCACTCAGGAGATTCCAAGGAACTTTGGAGCACTGTGCCAGGAACCAGGGTCAAAGACTAAATGTTAGCAGACAATGGGGGGAGACCCTGTGTACTCTTCTTACTTCATAGATTTGCTTGCAGTGAGCACTTTTATTGTTGTTGACAGTCAATGACTTATTTTGTTTTCAGTCATGGAAGGGGTTTCTTAGTTTGGCCATTGTTTTCTAACTTACTGAAAATATTATTTCTCTGCCTCTGGTTATTTCTGGTGACATTTCAGTTCTCTGTCTATTCTGCTTATTTAGAGAGAATTCTACTTTGGTACATTTTTGAATTTCTCTTTTCCTCAGATTTTCTTCAGTTTTTGTCTCATAAGTGTACACATGTACCTGGAATATATTGACTTTTTGAGTCTGGAGTAATTGATATCTTTTTACTTTTTTTTTTGAAAATTTACCTCTTTTATAACTTCTGATATAATTTCCCCTCCTTCTAAATTTAGAAATGAGTCAATGAATAAAGAACTTTTATGTTAGACCTTTTGGTGTATCTTTTGTGTTTCCTGCCCTCTTTCTGCAATTTTTCATTTTTGTTTTTTGGCAGGGGCCATTTTTTCTGACCTATCTTTCTCACTGTCTCTTGAGATGTATTGACTTAATTACTGACCCATTTTGTTCCTAATTCCAATTGTTTATTTTTCAGTTCTAGAATTTCTATTTGGTTCTTTAAAAATATGACTCAGAGCTTTTTATCTTTTCTCATTTCCCATAGAAACTTTAAAGTTTGCCTTTTATTTCTTTGAACATAATTACCTTGTTTTGTAGGGTGTGTCTGATCATTTCCACTTCTGAAACCTTATGACTGCTTGTGGGGTGTGGTGTCTATGCTGTTTCTTGGTTGTGATGTCTAGTCCTTGAGTGCCTTAACTTATATGCTGGTTATTAATAAGATTATTAATTGAAATTTGGAATCAACAATTCTTATAGAGATGTTTCAAGTATTTCTGCCACGTGCCTATCAACAGCAGTGACTTGTGAGTATGAGCCATCCTGGCGCGAAGTGGGCTGTCTCCTGGGGCCTGGCGGGCACATGAACACCAGCTGCAGCTCCCCAGGGTGGCACGTTTCATCCCAGTTCACTCTTATTTTGAGGCTGCATTCCTTTATGGTCTCAATCTAAAGCAGGGTATTCCATTGTTGTCCTTTATTTTGGTGATCTCCCATCTTTGTGGCTAGCCTCATTTTTCAGTGCCACTGAAAGATTATAATTGCTTTTTCCTGAATGGCAAATGCCTTTAAGGCAAAATGGTCTTAGTATCAGACTTTGTCTCTTTTTCACATTTTTTTTTTTATTTTGACTGATGATTCTTTCATCTATTCTTACCTCTTTCATATTTTTGAGAAGTCCCTTGCCCCAGCTTCTGCCTGGTCCTAGTCGTTTTGAGTGTACGTTCCAAGCCGATGGCTGCCAAGCTGATGGCTGCAGAGCTACATTCTATTTGTAGATTAGATGAATGTGTGCCCAGATGCTCCAACTTCCTAGTCATCCTCCCTCAGAAAACAAAGATAAAACAATAATCAGATGTTAGAACATTGTTTCAGAAAACCCCCAAGCTGGCACCCATGATTGCCATGGGGGAACCCACAGAATGAGGCTCTGTGCCTCTCTACTGCCTTGCTTTTCCTATCCAAACCTCATGCATGTGACTTTGAGTGACACATACAGAAACTCTTCAGCTGCTTTGAGAACCTCAGTTACAAGGGGCTTTGAGAACCGTTTATTATTATAATTTTTTTTTTGTATGCTTAAGGAAGACCA